TCAATAATCTTGCGAAAAAATATCGTAAAATGAATAAAATCTCAGATCACCAACATAATGTGTAGGTTAGATTAGGTTATGGCGCGATTCTAGGAAGGAAGCATATCTTCTGAGTATAATCTAGCTTAAAACTTTTTTAGATCCATATTTATTACGAAATCCACGATATGCCTCAGTAGTTTTTGTTTCTACTTGTAGAAGAAACACTTTTTCTTCGATGCTTAGCGTGTTCATTCTGACACTTATAAACCGGCTTGTTCAACGGCTCAGATAAAATTGACAGGTCTCATATACCGGAACCTAATCAATTAAATGAATGACAAAATCGAGGAGGGGAAATATAACCGTTTACTTTCAACACAATCCTAATGGTCACCCTGTACATTTTGTCTCCCGAAATTTTATTCTTATTCCAAGAGAAAGACACGAAACTTGATGACGAGTTTTCTTGAGTCTTTCCGGTTAGGTATGCGATTAAACTTGCACGATTTATCGCAACTATATTTAACACAAACACGGCGTAACACAAGGTATCTTGATAAATATTTCTTTTTCTAAATACCGACACGTGTCTGACAAAACGCAAAAAAATAGCGACATCGTGAGCAGTCGCAATCTTGTAAGGTATTTTACAAACGCCATCGAGTACATTCGCGACAAAGATGAATTTCTTACAACGATTTTTATGACCACACACGTGTGTATAGAAATCGATCGCGGCCGTAAGAGCTGGTTGTAAGAGCCAATCAGAGACGGGAAACTAACGACTCAAGTCTCGACGCGCGGATGCTTGATCGTGCGGAACAAACTGCTTTTCCGATAATATTACTTAAAGCTTGCGTACTATGATCTTCGCTTTGAATGATTACGCGTTGTAAAACGCGTTTTCACTTCGAAACTCATACGTGCCGGACGACCCTCGTTGGCCGACAGTAATTTATACTACCGCGCAACACACAACATTCGATAATTATCATTTGCAATGCAACTTATACTCCACGAGCCTGTAATTTCTCATCTCTCTCGGCCGATCGTTAAAGCCTTGGTTCGCAGATAAATTGTTTGACGGTAAATAGATCGTAATCAAGTAGTTTTCCTTCTTGTGATATTTTATGCTTCACTGCGACGGTTTTCATAAAAATTAATATTTAGAACTAATAACTTGCTAACATGCCCACAAAAGCGCAAAAATCTTAGACACGTAATGTCTTTGAAAATAAAATGAGCCATTTATGAAAAGAATATGAGATCAGTTTTGAATTCAAATAAGCGAGAATTGTGTGCTCCTTTTTAGCGAAATTCTCGAATAGAAACTTCCACATATTTTCAAGAAACGATTCAAATAAAGCAAATAATGGTATATTTTTTCAAAAATATAACACACATTTAGAAGTATTTACTGTATGTAACAACTCTTATTTTCTATGTAAAACATATGTATTTCTCAATTCGCGCATTTTTTCCTAAATATCTAATTTCGCTATCTTAAAGAGAGAAAGATAAATACGATCGATAGCTCGAAGCCACTTTAAGGCATTCATACAATCTAAAAGGCCAAAATAGTCGTCAATTTATGCGATATATGATTTCTCGCGCGAAAGTAGTCAAGTGACGCATAAGTTGATCATTCGCGGCGAATGATCTTGAAATTTTCACGCAAATATTCAGCAAATCGGTCCACCTGATAACGCCGGTTGATCGTTATGATTTGATTTATACGCAATTATACAGCCGCCGGTGCTGCGCGTATAAACCGCGGTATTTCGTGCCGTACGGGGCGGCGCGCAGTGTTTACCTCGTGAATTATTATCATGCGGGAATCACACAAGAGAAGCAGTCATTGCGGGGAAAAGCGAGTCGCGTTTAGAGTCGCATATTTGCGTGGCCCTTGTTTCGCGAGGTAAAGGTAAACGCGCCGCGTACGTTTTCC